TTGAAAATTATGGCATAGTCCTCAAGCCTGAGCTTTTTGAAAAATTATTCATTTTCTTCCAAGTTTTTGCGTTGTATCTTAAAAAGTTTTAAAGTATGTGGTTGCTAAAACTTAGCAGTTCCTGCTACACATACACACACACACACACACACACACACACACACACACACAAAATAGAACCATTTAGTTGACACTTAGTCATTAATAATTCAAATAACTTGTAGGGATTTGGACACAAAATAGATAAATATTAAATGTATTAAGCACCAATACTGTGACTTTTTCAAGGGGAATGCTGATATACAGGAAAGAATTCCAGGAGTGTTTATTTTTTATTTATTTTTTTTTTTAAATTTTTTTTTTCAACGTTTATTTATTTTTGGGACAGAGAGAGACACAGATGAATGGGGGAGGGGCAGAGAGAGGGAGACACAGAATCGGAAACAGGCTCCAGGCTCTGAGCCATCAGCCCAGAGCCCGACGTGGGGCTCGAACCCACGGACCGCGAGATCGTGACGTGGCTGAAGTCGGACGCTTAACCGACTGCGCCACCCAGGCGCCCCTCCAGGAGTGTTTATATTGATCATTTTATTTATTTTTTTCACTGCTTCAAGTTAAGGGCTTTGTGTGTGTAATCTTCTAATAAGATTTAAGATAAAATTGTGGAACGTTGAAAATTTTTATTGTTTTTAGATTTATTTATTTTGAAGTGGAGAGGGGGGAGCAGAGAAAGTGGGAGAGAGAGAACCCCAAGAGAATCCACACTGACAGCACGGAGCCTGTCACAGGGCTTGAACCCATGAACTGTGAAATTGTGGCTTGAGCGGAAACCAAGAGTTGGATGCTTAACCAACTGAGCCACTTAGGTGCCCCAAATATTTAGTTTTTAAGGGCAATGCCAAGAAATTAAAAACATGAGGTATAAAATGCTTTTTATCCTTGAGTAAAAGTTGTATCTTCTTATGTTCTTTGCCACACTGGAAAAAAAAGAATCCAAGGTTTTGTAGGCATCTAAATGCATATTACAAGCTAGTATCAACATTTTAAAACATTTTAAAAAATGATCTGAAGTAAACAAGTTAAAACCCTATCACCTATCCTGAGAAAGAGAAGGTGAAATGAATTTAGTAAATGTAACTAACATGTCAGTTCTCATTTCATTTCTTATGATATATTTAAATCAGAACTTATTTTAATTAAATTATTATGCAGTTTATATCATATGGTAATCCTGATATTCTTCCTAAGTATAAATCTAAATGCTAATTCAATATATTTTAATCTTATTGGATATATGATAATCTTCAGAAATAATTTTTCATATTAAAATCTTTAGAACCTACATGCATATCCCAAAATTAAAAATACATGTGAAGTTGAAATACCATTTTTAAGGACTATTTCAACAGACAGGTATGGAAGGTCTCCTGCATATAATGTGATAATATAGAGACAAATATGATGAAGGTGTCTCTCAAAGATACTTCAAGTGTATCAGTGAAACTAAACCCTATTCCCAAGTAACTAAAATAATTGTAGAAAGTAATAGATACAAAGTATGACACAGCACTAGAAGTCCATAGGAAAGAACACTTTGATTTAAAGTGTCAGGGAAGACTTCATTGTGGAGATAAAATTAGAATGTTTAGAGCTAAGATTTCATTAGGTAGGCATCGGAGAGGAGAGGAAAGAGAATGGAATTTCTAGTAAAACAATTGACATGAGCAAAGTGGCCTAGGTGAGAACATCTGGGGGAACTCTTTTGAGCCGATGGAAGAAAGAGAGAAAGATGGTGAAAGTTTTTGAATGCAGGGCTACGTGACTGTTGAGTAGTTACTAGTTAACTATGAGCTATTAACAGTATTAGGTAGAGGTATATTGCCAGAATTGCGTGGGGAGGAGAAGAGACTAAGCTGGATAGAGTGGCTGTTATCCAAGCTCAGGGGCTTCTGGTAAGAAGCACTTGAGGCTGAGTGGAGAGAAGATGGAGAGGAAGCCACTTCCATGGCAACTGTGAAGTGGAATGAAAAAGGAGGGTTGAAAGAGAGGAGGAAATTGGATGACTGAAATGCAGCCTGGTTGGTACCAAGAACATTAATAGGAAAAAAGTATGTCTGGGTGTAATTTGCCTTTTTGAACATAGAATCTGTAGTTTAATAAACAGCCGGAGGTCTAAAAGTGGGGAAAACCAGGGCTCTAGACATGTAGAAGTAAGAGTTAGTTGCCTAGAGATGAGTCTTACAATTAGATGAGATCACCTAGAATCATAGAATGTGTACTGACAAGAAAAATAAAAGATGAAACCCCTTCTAACTTGGATAACAGAGCTGGTAGTATGTTTTTCCTGAATAAGTAAATGTTCTATGAGTATCCCTTGTTTCCTAAAATTGTTCCTGGACGTACAATTTTTAGCATTGTAGTTAGAAACATATATGTTCTGATGCTGACGGGAAAGAAAGACAAAATTTTTTTATAATTTATTTCTACTCTATCAAAAAGGTGACTTTCATTAGTACGAATTTTTAAAGGCAAAATAATTTAAATATTATATAGGTGACCTAGAGTTAGTGCAAAAGTCTCCCTTCCTCGGAATGTCTGGTGTTGCTTAAATATGTGGTCATTAACACGCACACACCCATTTCTTTATAGGAGTGGAAGTGTTAGTGGGTTGACACTTAAATTGATCCGCACATCTGTCTCCGAAATGTTGGAAACCCTCTCAGATGACGATTTCGTGAATGTAGCTTCAGTAAGTATAAGATGACTGCATTTTTGCTGAACTAATTCTGCAATTTCTATCTTCCCCTGGTTTTAAATACTTCATAGTGTTTTATCATTGATAGGCTGAGATATTTCTGATCTATATTTTAGCACCATCTTATGAGCTGTCCTATCTTGTTACTAATTCTCCTGTATTTTCATGCCAAAGTCAAATGTCTAAGTCTTTCCCCGTGAGTGAAGTAATTGAAGTAATATGAAGAAAAAAACACTACAGTTATTCTCGTTCACTCACAGGAGCTGAAACAGGTGACATGAAATGAACCCCTGTATCCACTGATATCAATGTAACTCTAATAAGTAGTAACTTGATAGTATAATTAGATGGCAATTTTCTATCCATTTTAATACTCATTTTTCACACTGGACACATCCATAATGTATTATGCTTTTTTTAATTGAAGTAAAATTAAGATACAATGTTATATTAGTTTCAGGTATACAACGTATTGATTAAACAGCAGTGCTCATCATGATAAGTATAATCACCATCTGTCACAATGTTATTCCAATATTGTTGCCTATATTCTCTATACTCTACTTTCAATCTCTGTGAACTATTTATTTTATAATTGGAAGTTTGTACCTTTCAATCCACTTTACTTTACCCATTGCCCCCAACCACCTCCCTTTTGGCAAGTCATGTTTGTTCTTTGTATTTAAGAACAAATAAATGGTTTTTGTCTGCTTGTTCATTTGTTTTGTTTTTTAGATTCTACATATAAGTGAAATCATACAGTATTTGTTCTTTCCCATTTGACATTTCTTTTAGTATGATACCTTCTAGGTCGTCACAAATGTCAAGACTTCATTATTTTTTTTATGACTGAGTCATATTCCATTGTGTGTGTATGTGTGTGTGTGTGTGTGTGTTAACTCACGTTTTCTTTATACATTTATCTTTTGGGTTATATTCATGTCTTGGCTATTTTAATACTGCAGTAAACATAGGGGTGCATGTATCTTTTTGAATTGTGTTTTGTTTTCTTTGGGTTACCTAGTAGTAGAATTACTGGATCATATAGTATTTCTATTTTTAATTTTTTTTTTTTTTTGAGGAACGTCCATGTTGTTTTCCACAGTGGCTGCATCAATTCATATTCCTACCAATAGTGTGTGAAGGTTTCTTTTTCTCCCCATCCTAACCACCCCTTGGAATTTCTTGTCTTTTTGATGCTAGCCATTTTGACAGGTCTAAGGCAATATCTTTTTGTGGGTTTGATATGCATTCCCTGATGATTAGTAGTGTTGAGCAACTTTTCATATGTCTATTGGCCATTTCTATGTCTTTGGAAAAATATATTCAGGTCCTCTCCCCATTATTTAATTGGGTTATTTAAGTATTTTGTGGGGTTTTTTTTTTGGGGGGGGGAGTTTTGAGTTGCACAAGTTCTGTATTTTGGATATTAACTCCTTATTGGATATGTCATTTGCAAATATATTCTCCCATTCAATAGGTTGTTTTTTTCGTTTTGTTGATGGTTTCCTTTGTTGTGCAAAAGCTTTGTACTTTAATATAGTTCCAACAGTTTATTTTTGCTTTCCTTTGCCTGAGGAGATCTATCTAGAAAAATGTTGCTAAAGCCAATATCAAAGAGATTACTCCTATATTTTTTTCTAGGAGTTGTGTTATTTCAGATCTCACTTTAAGGTTTTTAATCCACTTTGAGTTTCTTTTTGTGTATGGTTAAGAAAGTGGCCCAGTTTCATTCTTTTGCTCACAGCTGTCCAGTTTTTCCAGCACCATTTGTTTAAGACTCTTTTTCCCCTTGTATATTCTTGCCTCTATTGTCGTTGATTAATTTCCCATATAAGTGTGGGTTTATTTTTGGGTTCTCTGTTTTGTTCCTTTGATCTGTGTGTCTGTTTTTGTGACAGTACCATACTGTTGTGATTACTGCAGCGTTTAGTCCATCTTGAAATCTTGGACTGTGGCATTCCTAGCTTTCTTGCTCAAGATTGCTCTGGCTATTTGGGGTCTTTTGTGGTTCCATACAAACTTTAGTGTTATTTTGTTCCAGTTTGGTGGAAAATGTCACTGGTAATATGTTATATAATAATGTATTAACAATTATGTGTGTTACATTTTCAAAGTATTATTTATTAACATGAAAACCAATGTGCTTTTTTAAAAGTGTCACTTCCCAAGAACCATATTAGAGCTTCCTACTCATAGCTAGTAGAGAGTGTTGAACTCTGAAGCAAATAAAATAGGACAAAAGGAATGTTACCACATCTCATTTTAATTAATAGAATTTAGGCAAGAAATTTCATGACTTTACTGGTGGATAGAATTTCACATTTGAAGTGGGTATATTCATAGAGACGGAACTGAGGGATTTGTGGTCAGATCATTTTGTATTGAACACAGAAGAACAGATCTGTCTCTGAAACTCCTTGGGAGGGAGAAGTTAAAGCAGCTCCTTTCACTGGATGGGCATCCCTGGGATGGGGGGGGGGGGCGGGGGGGAAGTAGTCAGGGAAGCAGGTGTAATCCCCTTGTTAACCAGAGCTCCAGGTAATTGGAGATATTTCATAGATTATATATTCCCACTAGGCAAGAACTCTGAAAACCTCTTTTTGAGACTGCTTTTCATCTGGGTCACACGTGTGTCTCCGGTGCAGTAAGGTACAACCTGGTCTTTTAGTTGCCCAGGGCTGCCGTAACTGAATACCACACCCTGGGGAGCTCACATGTATTTTCTCATGATTCTGTAGGCTGGAACTCCAAGTTCAAGGTGCTGGCAGGGTCAGTGTCTCCTGATGCGTCCTTCCTTGGCTGCCAGATGGCTGCTGTATTGCTGTTTATATAGATAGTCATCCCTGTAGATGTAGCCCCGGGTGTGTCCTCTTATTATTACATGGACAGCAGTCATAGTAGATTATGTCCTCATCCTAAGTCCCCTGCTTCCACACAGCCCACACTCCAGTGGGGAGAAACAAAGGGATGTGGTGGATTTCGGACAACGGCAAGTTCCCTGAAAGTGGGTGATGGGACCCCAAGCAGAGCGGGTGCTGCTTCTGTTGGGGCAGAAAGAACTGGGCTCTGCGAGGAGGCGAGCTTCGGGCTGAGGCCCGAGGAGGAGGCTCTCTGAAGCACTCTAAGGGAAGACCATTCTGGCCAGAGGGAACAGCCAGTGCAGAGGGCCTGAAGAGGGGAGCCCAGCTGTGCATCTGAGGGGCAGGAAGGAGCTGGTGGGATTGGAGCACGTGAGCCTGGGAGAGGCTGGAAGGTGAGGTGGGGGAGATAGGCCTGGACCCCCAGTGCCTGGAAGGGCCACAGAACAAGTTTGCGTTCTAGCACAAGCAAGGTGGATGCTACAGCCTTTGAAGGGTTTTCTTGACTCTAGTTATGACTGGTGTACAGCCAGTTACTAGTGGAGTCTTTGTTGCCACACGACTGGTGAGTGACTTAATTCTGCAATCCCATTCTGCGGATCTGCTTCTTAAAACCACTGCTAGTATCAGTTGAGATTGGGTTTCCCCACAAAGAGTCTCTGAGACAAGGATTCAACGACAAATGGTTTATTTTAGAAAATGACTCTAGGAAATGCTTAGAGAAATGTGAAAAGCCAAAGAGAAAGAGAGAGAGAGAGAGAGAGAGAGAGAGAGAACTAACAAATGATGGATTATCAAACATTACCACTCTGAGTGATACAGTTTAATCCTCTGTACAATTCTGAGAATTAGCACAGATTACATGAATCAGAGTTACCCTTCTATGGGGAAAATGTGCTGGAGTATTTATAGTTAACAATTGCTCACGAGGAACGTTAATACCCTGATGTTCCCAGGCCAACATGTACGCAGGCAGAGGGCTTGTAGAAATCTCAGCCAGTTAAATTTGGGTTGGCACGCATGGAAATATGGATGGGACACCAACAGCATCTGCCTTAGTTAGAAACTAAACAATGCTATTATTAAATATGCTTTAAAAGGATTTCTGATTAAACAGAAGAAATGGCTTTGAATGAATTTTTTTGGTGTTCAACATTTAGCTAGCAAGTAATGATTCTTTTTAAAAATTATTTTCATGTTTATTTAGAGACAGAGCATGAGCAGGGGAGGGGCAGAGAGAGAGGGAGACACAGAATCTGAAGCAGGCTCCAAGCTGTCAACACAGAGCCCGATGCAGGTCTCAAACCCATGAACCGCGAGATCATGACCTGAGCCTAAGTCGGATGCTTAACCAACTGAGCTACCCAGGCGGCCCTGAATTTTTCTTAATAAAATCACTTAGGTGGGATTGACATTGGGGTTCTTCATGCCTGACAAGTCTTAAAGATCATTGCTTTTCTTTTTTTTTTTTTTAATTTTTCTTTTTTAACGTTTATTTATTTTTGAGACAGAGAGAGACAGAGCATGAACGGGGGAGGGTCAGAGAGAGGGAGACACGGAATCTGAAACAGGCTCCAGGCTCTGAGCGGTCAGCCCAGAGCCCGACGCGGGGCTCGAACTCACGGAGTGTGAGATCGTGACCTGAGCCGAAGTCGGCCGCTTAACCGACTGAGCCACCCAAGCACCCCTGATCATTGCTTTTCTTAATAATATTATGGCTCTTAAACATGTATTGCTGTAAAGAACATTGTTAACTACTTAAAAACATAATTGTAAGATATTTCCCTGTGGCTTCTGTGAGCCTGGTCAGCAGACTTTATTGGTTCATTGACAGTTCTTGGTAAATCCTTACTTGTGTATCCTCACTTGATGTACCTTGAATTGTGTAAGCTAAATGCCTATTGGCAAATGGAATATGTTGCTTGTGGAAAGAACTGGGAGTGTGTTTGATCTGGAAATAATGTATCTCAATATGTCAAGTTAAAAATGATGAAAATACTCAGTTACATATTCACAAATAGGGAAGAGGAAGGACATTGGGAAATGCTCAACCCGTGCAAACTGTGAGGCAAATAATGCAGGAAGATATTTGAAAGATGAAACCATCATGATTTCCCACTCTACTTCCAGGGAAAATTATTACTAGTCTCAGCTGCTGTATATTGGCTTGTTTAGTGTAGATTAGTTAGTTAAATTTACTTTCCTTCTTTGTGGCCCTGATTTGCCATAGAGATATTTTTGTCAACTCTGAATTTTTTTTACTAACTATATAATTTTGCTTAATTTTATTATTTCAGAAAAATCATGAGTACATTTTCATGATTGAAAAGTCACTGAATGTTTTTAAGTGAGCTTATTATTCCCACCATAGATGTGCCCTTCAGAAAATCAGTATGAACAAGATCTAAGGTAGATATGTGTTCATTGTTGATCTTATTTATGTATTAACCTTCAAGTAATCACAAGTCATGAGGTGGTTTTTTAAACACTGCTTATGTGGCAGGAACTGTTCTATGTGTTTTCCATAACTCATTCAGTCTTCACAACTGCCTTGTGAGGTCGATACTGTTACCATCCTTAAGTTTATAGATAAAGAATCAGAGTTCTAGTAACTTTTCTAAGGGAGAAGGCAGGATTGGAGCACAGCCATCTTCACTTATGAGTCTTGAGGAGAATATAAAATATATTTACTAATTTTTTGTGAAATCTGACATATTTATTTTATTTTTTAATATAATGTATTGTCGAAGTGGCTAATACACAGTGTGTAAAGTGTGCTCTTGGTTTTTGGGGTAGATTCTTGTGGTTCTTCGCTTGCATACCACACCCAGTGCTCATCCCAACAGGTGCCCTCCTCAATGCCCATCACCCATTTTGCCCTCTCCCTCACCCCCCCTTCCAAAATCTATAAAGGACTTAGCAAACTCAACACCTGAAATCTGATATACTTAAATAAAACTCCAAAATATTGGAATTGTTAGAAATTCTAAGATAGAAATATTATTAGATTGTAAAAGCAAAGAGAAAACCCTTTTAAATCTGAATGTATTTTTAAAGAAGACTGTTATTTATGTTTTGGTGGAGAAGTTCTTTCAGTAAAGTTTTCCGTATTTTGGCTTGAAAAAGCACATATGAATTAGATTAACCTTATAATTGCAAATGAATACTTAAACACTATGTCTGGGTTATACATTCGGCCTAGGTAGTATTATTTTTTATATATTTATTTACCTTCTTTATCATGTGTCTTGCTCCTATGCTCTTATTCATGTTTATATAATACTTAACATCAACCACATTAACTTCATAATTTCAAAAATTCATCAGTTTTATTGGTTAGCGTGCTATATTGGGGCTATAAAATGCCTGAAATGGATACATTTATTTTTTTTTAATTTTTTTTTAACATTTATTTATTTTTGAGACAGAGAGAGACAGAGCATGAATGGGGGAGGGTCAGAGAGAGAGGGAGACACAGAATCTGATACAGGCTCCAGGCTCTGAGCGGTCAGCACAGAGCCCGACGCGGGGCTCGAACTCATGGACCGCGAGATCATGACCTGGGCCGAAGTTGGACGCTTAACCAACTGAGCCACCCAGGCGCCCCTGAAATGGATACATTTAAAGATAATTGATTATGATGCAACATTTTGGTAAGAGAAAAGCAAAGTTATGTTTTGTCCTTAACCAGGCCTTTCTCATTAAATAAAAAATTAATAATTTAATGATATGGCAATTCTAAGGAGAAAGCTCTTCAACATCTAATATGCCGGTGTGTGTGTATGTGTGTGTGTTCACATGTGCATATACAGGTGTGCATGTATTTTCTTTCTTTTTTCTCTGAAACTGAATGTCTAGGAAAGAAACAATGTCACTTTTAGTGTTATAACTTCAGGGAGGCATTATAATAAGGTGCTGAGAAAACCTGGTAGTGATTGTGCAGTAAATTTTGACAATAATTTTTCCACAACCCTCACGCAGTTTTCTTCATCCTCATACCAAAGATCACGTGAGTCATCCAGAGTGTTAGGATGCAATCGATAGGAACACTTGACAAAATTACTTAGACCCACCGTACAGAAAAACAGCCTCTCATTTTTAGGTTTATATTTCTAAGTCTCTTATTATTTTGTAAAGAACAGTAATTGTTATGCTCAAGTCATGTAATGCACGTGTAAGATGTCAGAACTACATACCAAATGTCATGTCCTAGGGAGTTCTTTGTTATCTCCAGGGCGATTCTGTTGTCTCCAGGGCATTGTTGGTTGCAGAAAGGAAGCCTGCTGTTGGGCAAAGCTTATGCAAGCATCACACGACTGTTTTCCTACTAATCTGGTTACATGCTTTGATGGAAGAAAGTGGTAGATGATAGGAGCAACAATTCAATCACAGCATGTTCTGATTTACAGACATCATTTCAACTGTTGACACAATGAGTGGAGTTTGTTTATGAAACTGAGGGAGTTTGACATTTCAAGAGTAAAATACTGCAAGCCAGTGGAAGATGACAAGGAAATGTGTGCTGATTATGAACAGTGTGTGGAAAGTTAACAACGGAAGAAAATGGCCATGCGTTTCAATAAGATCACATCTTGTTGCTTAAGAATTAGATGCAAATGTTCTGGTGACATTAAGCATTTTTCAGTCCCTTTTTTTCTTGGAAGTTTTTCTAATATGTGATCATTATAAAGTGCAGTCTTTGGGGGGGCCTGTGTGGCTCAGTAGATTAAGCGTCTGACTTCAGCTCAGGTTCGTGAGTTCAAGCCCTGTGTCAGGCTCTGTGCTGACAATTGAGAGCCTGGAGTTTGCTTTGGATTCTGTGTCTGCCTCTCTCTCTCTGCCCCTTGTCCATTCATGCTCTGTCACTCTCTCTTTCAAAAATAATTAAATATTTAAAAAAAAATTAAAAAGCGTAGCCTTTAATACTCATGAGAAAGAAATAATCAAAATACGCTTCCTTATAGTATCGCTCATATTAGTTGAAGTAAGCTCTGCGCTTTGTCTGGATAGTAGGCACTAAACAGCGATTCTGGAAATGACAGTGTCTAAATGCAAGTGCAGAATGAGGACTAAGGAGCCACAGTCATCATAGCAGGAGGCTGGACAGGGATGATCACAGCGTCATGCTGGTGGCATTAGTAAGACTCTCTGGTTAAGTGATCTGCTTCCCACTCTCCACAGACGACTCTACCTCTTAGATGGCGCTGGTAGAATTGTATAGAAACGATGTACCACCTTTGAGGCTGACTCATTAGCTTGCAAACAGGATAAAATTTCAGGTACTTCCCAGTTTTTGACTTGACAGTCTAACACCAACTAATGTCACACTGGAGGTTTGTTTAAATACGAGATTGCACTGTATCTTCAAGAAAGACATGGCTTGGATTGTTCCTTTTCTCCTGTGTTTTAAATTTGAGTTTTCCTTCTAAAATATGCCTTGTGTGTTCCTAGATAAGGGCATGGTTTTCGTAGTTTAGAACTTTGCTACTCTGCCTGTAATAATGAGCCC